AATTTTACAGATTATTTTAATAAATTATATATTTTTTTTTTTTTTTTACCAGAACCGTATTTTGACTTTTTAAAAAGTTATTTCACAGATACTTTCTGTGGTAGCAGAAAGTGGCTGCGGTTTCGTTTTCTTCCGTCACAACAAACCGTTAAATGACTAAATGACAATTTCAGACAAAATCCGTCCCTTTAAAAAAAAGAAAACTTTGAATTTTTCTCCCAGAGTCCCCGCTTCTGTCCCGCAAATAGCAGCAGCACGGAAACAACACAGCAGCAGCAGCAGAAGCAGCAGCAGCAGTAACAGTAACAGCAACAGCAGTAACAGCAGCAGCAGCCTCCTCAGTGGACAAGTTTACCCAGTTCAAAATATAAAAGCGCAAACTGCTATTTAAATCTAACGACTTTTGAATTAAACACGGGCAACAATGGCGTCTTACCGCGTCCAGGTCCGCCGGAGTTTGAGACAGAAGCATGGAGGGGAGATTTAAAGAGTCCCGTCACTGGCACAGAAACACGAACGGTCCGAGCTGCCGGAGACTCCGACACACAATGGCGCTGACAGCAGGAGAAACTGCTGCTGCTCTGAGCGGAGGTGCTGCCTTCACGGGCCGCCGGACTAAAGAGTGCTACACCGAGGAAGCCTCTATTCTCGCTTTTAAAAATAAATCATATTCAAGATTCAACACGTTAATTGACGTATTCACAGTCAGAAAACAGCAGACATTGAGAAAAATGTGTTACAATAAATATTATAATGAGAAATAGTCTTTTTTTTATTATTAAAGAATCCTTCACAACAGGATTTATACAAAAAATACACGGCGACAAACAGACGAGGGAATCGTATTAGTTCTACAGCTAGTAAGTCTAATATTTTGTGTTCATTACGAATTAACACGTTACACTACATCTAATATATAATAGTATTTATTATTCAGAAAATTACGGAGATTTCCTGACATATGCTGCATTAATTGGAAGATTCCAGACAACTGTGTTGTAGACAATAATATCAATAACGTCGTAATTAATGTTCCTACAAATTCGAGGTTTTTTTTTTTAAATAAGTGGCCAAGTTTACGAGCAGCACGTGGAGGTAGCAGAAATAGCTGAAACCGAGCAGCTGCCCCCGAGAAGTGCCGTCGTCGACGTTGTCCCGCCCACACACACACACACACACCACACAGGCACACACACTATCCTCAAGTTGTTTCTCTACTGTGTGTAAAATTAGTTCATTCAACATTTAAAAAAATGTTAAAATTGTGAAATAAAAATCATATGATTCTGTTACTGCTTCTTAAAACTTTTTTTTTATATTTTCAATTAAAACGGGACAAATTTTGCTGCCACTTTCTGGGCTAACTTTTAGCTCTTTCCTTGCTTATTTCTACAAACTTTTTTCTCAACCTGTGGCAAATATAGCGCTCTCTGATGATTTTGTTACATTCAATCATTATTTCTCTTAATCCATTTTGCCTGATGTTGATCAACCTCAAGGATTCACACTTTTAACTTTTGGCCAACTTTGTCAATATTTACTATTTCAGGGCAACATAATTGCTGTTTTCAAGTTTTACATTTTAGAAAAAAACGTAGATGAAAAAAATAAACTTTTGCATGATTCACTGGGAGCCTTAGGTTCTATTATTTTCCTGGTTTCTGAGCTGCACTGAAAGCAAACTGAGCATGTTGTTTGACTGAACAGAGAAGTGTGTCCCACCCTGCAGCAGACAAAAGCCCCAGCTACACACTTACAAACACCAGCAGATTATCCCGGGGGCTAAAATGGGCATCTTTTGGACCGTTACATCTTTGATGCCCCCTGCTGCATGCTCACCCAATTACGCACTGAAAAAGAAAAATTGCAAGTTGTTTTTCTTTTTCTTTTCTTCCCCCCCTCGTAGGGCCGTCTGTTCTCAGTGCTGAAGGTCCGGTGTTTACACTGCTCAGCTGTTGGCCCTACGTTGGTGTGTCTTCTTGACGGCACAGAAAACTTTTTCCACTGTGGAAACCTGGTCACAACAGAAATCACACAAATCTTTGCACGATACGTGGTAAAATAAGTGTTTTACCCTGAGGGGGGTTCACGTGATCATGTCTTAAGAGTTTAGGATTTAAAAGACCAAAGAAAAGCACAGTAAAATCTGCAGCAGCTTAGGTTTATTACACCGTATCTAGAGAATAATATTCCTGGAGTTAAAGAGTCTTTTTCTTTTTCTGTTTGGAAACGGTTGTTTGTAAAGCATTCTTCCTCCCACACTGAAATCCATAGAGAAAAGTCAATATTTTAAGCTGACAGGGACACAAAAGCTCCTGCTCTAAGGCTGTCTGGTTTGGTGATTTTGTGTTGCCAACATTAATACAACAAAGCTGCAAAACAGTCACAGTCATGAAAATATCACACGTCGAGATACAGAAAAAAAAAACACAACAACAACTGCTGCGAATGTTACGTCAACTAACAGTAAATCAGGGACTTTTTCATGAAATGTCAGAGGAAGAATAATTCACAGAGGGACTTCGAGGAAAGTGAACCTGAATCCTTCTGGACTCAAGCCCGCGTCCTTAACCACTAAGCCACCATACGGGCGAGTTAATGAAATTAACAACTTTCAAGTGAACTGTAGATTTTTTTTTTAATTTGAAGTTGGCTAAAAATGTTGTTTTTTTCCTGTAGACTGTATATAAGATGTGAATGTTGCAGTCCAAGTCCTGCAAGGCTGCCTGCTGCAGACCTGCCGTGCAGGGAGCGCACACGCCACCTATAGTTTATGCCCAGATAGTGCATATGATATGTACAAAGATTGCATCACAAACGCAGCCTCTTTATTCCTCATCACTGGACGAAGGATGTGGCAAATTATATCATGATTTTTTCTTTCTTTCTTTTTTTTTTTTTGTTTGAAGGCAAAACTGACTCAGCATTTTTTTTTTTCAGTTTAGCCACAGCAGAGCTGCTGGAAACTGCTGCTCACACAGTAAAAAATAAAAAGCAGGAGCGTTCCGATCCAGCGTGAGAACCCGAGCTCTGCAGCACTGACGTACTGGAGTCTAGAACTATAGGTTAGTCAGGGTTAACAGCATCTCTGTGCACGTGTGTGTGTGTGTGTGCACGTAGATGTGAACGATCCTGTGGTGAACGGACAGATCTGGTTTTAGTCCTGCGTTCATCTCTCTGGCCTCCGAGTTGACTCACAGATGCCGAGCAGCGAGGAGGGATGGCTCTAAATAAAGATTTCAGGTCAAAAACAGGAAATGGCTCAGTGAGCAGGGAGGGCAGGGCCATAGCAACACCAACTGGAGAGCTGCAACCTCAACATCCCTCCCTCCCTCCCTCCACACATCTATCTCCATTCTTCTTCTTCTCCCTCCTTTTATTTCCATCTCTTGTGAAATCCTCATATTTACTGTTTTTATTTCCGTCCTCATTTCTCTTTCTTACATCCTGAGCACTTTCCACCGCTCCGTCTGAAAGTCATTAACAAATGCTACGTTTTAATGACAATAACATGTATTTATTTTATTGTCACGCAGATCAGCGGTTCTGGTAAAAACTATGTTACTATGTGCGTCTATAAGACAGCATGTGTGTGTGTGCGTGTGTGTGTGTCACTATCAGTGTGATCCTGACTCACGTCGTGCTCACTGACCTCACTCATCACACACCCACTCTGTGCGTGAAGCAACACGTCGCACCCATTCGTCACCCTGTTGCACCTTTGGATGGCAACTCTGGTGCCGGGACACGAACTGTCCACAAAATTGACCAAACTAAAACTAAATGCAACATCCCAAAACTTGAGGATGAAATCAAAGAAAACCAGGCCGACGAGTTACATTTCTCTACGCCGATGCACGTTGTAGTGCATTCATATTTTTTTTTCCTTTAAACAGTGCTTTTATTGTGAAATCTGAAGTGACCACCTCCCACACCAAAGTCCATGGAGAATATTGGCATTTTTAGCTCATTGTGTAACTGGGATTATTGAACTACTTACAATAAAAACAACACATCACAACAGCATTACAATAACATAAATAAAAAACAAATTTTAACTGAGTTTGGATCAACCATCCGGAACTTTCTGTGTTTGTCATTAGGAAAAAATATTCTCATACATTTGCAGGAATTGTCACAGTGTTTCTCATCAAGTTCAGTGGAGTTTGACGCAATTGTTGTGAATGTGTCGACTGTGAGAAAAGGAAGTGGAAGAAGTGTGAGCAATCACAAGTGAGAACATAGTTATATAAAAACAAAAACGACCTGACGTCATAATCATCGTTGTGCATTTTTGTCTATTTTCCTCTAAACGGAAATATCACTCGCCACCACCAGTCGTCGTGCTATAAATGCCGTGAATGGATGGAAGCATCGTTTGAAAATGCATAACATCTGCTTGGTCTCCTCTTTAGACGTGAGGTGTGGCAGACCCAGCAGACCACTGCTGCGTGTATGTGTGTGTGTGTGTGTGAGGAGGGCCACGAGCGGAAACAACACATAAACC